ACACATATGATGTGCCACACATATGATGTGCCACACATATGATGTGCTACACATATGATGTGCTACACATATGATGTGCTACACATATGCTAAACAAGCAAACAAGTAATATAGAGGGTAAACAGTATGTGCAGAGAAAAACAGAAATGTAAACTATGAAGAAAGAGAGCAAAATGGGGAAGGCACAGAGACGATGAGTGAAAAATTAGCAGAACGGGCTATGAAAAGGAGGAAAATTAACATGTTACCTCCATTGATAAGAGAAAGATGTCTCCCTCCATAGCATGATGACCCTGTAATCCTCTCAGATTACAGAAGACTCGTCTTTTCTTGGGCTTAATCACTGTATGAAATTTGTTGATTCCTGAACACACTTCTCTAGCCCAGGCCTGTCCTCTTGGCTCTTGTTCCAAGGGCTTAAAGAAGGACTAGTCTATGTGAAGGCTGTTTTGGCATCTTCTGCCCCCAACTTCGTGGCCTAGAACTTCTCTCACCCTATTTGGCACTGCTTTAATTACAACTTTCACGGGTCTCCAGCCTGCCCCTGTGTGTGCATCCCCGGCCTGGTAATCCCATGTATGACCCAGGCACACTCATTTAAACAGGAGGAACAGCCTTTCTCTAGGTTTTACCTCTCCAGTGTTGCCCCCTTCATGTAGAGGAATTTTAATCCAGCAACACAGCTGCTCTCGCAAAGCACCACATCCAAAGACCTAGGTCTGTATGATCCGGCTGGAATGCAGGCATGCCACACACCATTAATCCCTGTGGCAGGAATGCAGGCACACCTTTAAGGTAAGATTAGTTTGTACAGCCATGTTTGAAAGTGACATCTGATTGAGAGGCAAACAAAGTGAAGAATCAGAGAAAGATTTGACAGGAGTCAGAGAGAGGATGCACTCAACTCTCACTAGAACAGCACAGGAAAAAGAGGCTATTTAAGAGCAGTGCAGGGAGAGAGGAAGAACCTGTTGGGAGTTAGTGCCGTGAGTTCAATGCAGCATAGCTGAGTTCATTTGTGAGTTCAGTGCAGGTCAGCAGAGACAGTTGAAGCCAGAGAATAAGAAGCAGCCGGAAGATTAGAACAAATGGCCAAAGCTAGTTTGAAGCCAAGCAGAGCAATTCAGTCAGAAGTTGAGAGAAGCCAGATTGACTCAGTCAGCTTAGAGAGCAGTGTTGAGCCAGAACAGCTGATTTGAACCAGCCAGAGTTCAGAAAGAACTAGAAAGGGTGAGCTCATTCAGCAGTAAGTCTCAGAGGCTGAAATATTCTAGGCCTAAGTTAGCAGACAGAAGCTGGAAGCTGAAGCCTTTAAGGTTCAGGCTTGCGGAAGATTAGATTGTACGGAGGTTAGACGCTTCCAGGCCTAGGGATAGAACAGAGAAAGAAATGCTCTGAGCTCAGCCCAAGCCATGTATTGCACAGCTTGGATATGGCTCTCATCTCATCTTTTCATATGAGGAAATAAAAGTAACATGTATACCTTCAAATCTCTTGCCTCCCGCCAAAGAAGGATCTTACAAAAATAAATTGGGCTGGAGAGCTGACTTAGTGATTAAGAAGACTGGCTGCTCTTGAGGATCCAGGCTTGGTTCCTAGAACCCACAACCATCTCTAACTCCAGTTCCAGGGACTCAGACGCCTTTTCTGCCCTCCTGGGACACTTCATGCGCACACTAGCATCAGGGAAAACCCTCACCCAGATAAAGAAACAGTAAAACAAATGCAAACCAGCTCAATCGGCTTTTAGAGCCCAATGCCTTCTGCGGCTCTCAGCAGCTGTCTGCACTGTCAGAATGGCAGTGAAGGCTGGCAACCTCTTTCCCTCTTACCCTCTTACCCTGATACCGTATCCCTGATATCTTACCCTGATACACACACTGTCTTTGGGTTCTTGCATTTGCTGTGCTCTGCCTCTTCAGCTTCTGCTGGTTATGAGAACCATGTGATTTTGAGAAACAGTTGGATATAATCTCTCAGGTTTGAAAACACACATATCCCAGAGCTCAGTAATTACATTCCTCAACTGGGAGAAATGTGTGTTGATCAGAAGACATCAAAAAGGCTGGGAGTAAGGCACACACCTCAGTCCCAGCACTCAGGAGGAAGAAGAGGGATCAGGAATTCTAGGTCATCTTTAACTACATAGTTTGAAGTAAGCCTGAGCTACATGAAACCCTGTCTAAAAGCAAACGACTAAACACACATACACACACACACACACACACACACACACACACAGGAATGCTCCCAGCAAGACTATTCTTAAAAACTAAATAACTGAAACCGAGCAAGTCAGTACATTTCTATAACATCAAAAATATTAATACATCAAACTCTCCCAAACATATTAATATGTACATATTATATATACATATGTATGTACGTGTATAAACCTGGGAGTATTTGTCTTAGCTGAGAACAGAAAAGATAACATGGTTATGATTTCATTTGTATTGGTTACGTAAGTAGCAAAATTAATCTAGGTCTTGAAACTGGAGATTGTGGTTGACCTTGAGAAAGACTGTGGGGACGGTGGAATGTGTCACCCACAGGCTTCTGGGGTGTCACTCATCTGCTTCTTGATCCAAGTGATAGTTTCACTTTGCGATCATTTAACCTCCACTTTTATATGTAAGTGTTCTACTGAAGTTACAGTTTTAATTTTATCTTCACTTATTTTTTGAAACAGGTCTTGCTATGTAGCCTAGGCTATCCTTGAACTTACGTTCCTCCTACTTTAGCCTTTCAAGTACTGGGATTGCAGGTGTGGCTTGCCATGCCTGGTTAACTTTTAGATTTAAGATATGAAAGTGGGTTATCCAAGGATTTGAGGAATGGGTAGAAGGAAAGGTAAGAACAGAGTGGGTGTGAAATTGAAGGGAGAAGGATCATTCATAGCATCGTTCAAAATGCTCTTCTAGAGAGTTAAACGAAAATGCTTTGTGTGTCCGTGTGTGTTTACGTGCAGTGGTCTGCATGTTCGTGTGTGTGTGTGTGTGTGTGTGTGTGTGTGTGTGTGTGTGTGTATGCAGAGGTCTACTTCTGGTTATGTTGTGCTTTGCAGTTCTTTATTTTGAGCCAGGGTCTCTCATTGGTCTGGAGCTGGCTGTTTAGGCCAGACTGGCTGGCTGACCGGTGACGCCCTGGAATCTACCTGGCTCTATCTTCTGAGTGCTAGCATTGCAAATGGATGCCACTTATGTGTCCTTTTCATGTGGGTCCTGAGGATCAAACTCAGGTCCTCACGCTTGCTGAAGACCTTTTACAGGCCTCAGTCCCTGAAAATAACTTATTCATTGTAATTTGGCCCAGGATCAGTGCTAATCAGCCGTGGGATACAAGTTAGTCGCTCTTCTGTGGATCTCATAGATATAGAGAAGGAAGAGTCATCCTCACTCTTGTATGAAGAACAACAGACCCGATCAAGGACCAACAGCAATCAGGAGTCTGGGGAAATTGGTAAGGATGACTGAAGAAATTGTAACAGATTCCCAGGCAAGGGGCTTCGCTATGTCCTCAGGGACCTTTGAGGCAGGGGGAAGGAGGCCCACCACAGCCACCCTTCAGCTTAGCAGAAGGAATCTGAAAAAATTCAAGGCAGAAATGAGAAATGGAGGTTAATAAATGTTGAGGCCAGAGGGGTTTTTTCCCCCTAAAAAAAAAAGAGAGAAGGCAGATGGGGGAGGATAAGGCAAATGGGATTAAAGAGAAGAGAAAGACAAACAAACAAACCAAAAACAAAAACAAAAACAGGGAACTAAAATACATATGAGAAGAGATGGACAGGGAAACAAACCCAAGACAGAGGTGTGAAGAGGTCCATATTACCAGGTACAGATGAAGAACAAGAGCTATGGGCAGAGCCAGGAAGAAGGCCGAGGAATAATATAGAGTGAAATAAAGAGGCGGGCGGGGAAAGTGAGAACCAAAATGAGGGTGCAGACTAGAAGCCTGTCAGTGGCTGGGAAGGCCACCTCTGTGCCTGTTTGGTCAGCTGTTGCTCGGCAGCCAGGAGTTAACTGTTTAGGTCTTCCTAGCGCTCACACTCACGTGTCCCCTGCTGTGCGGGGCTGCTGCCATCTCTGGGATGCATAAGGGACTTTTCTTTCCTTTGTGCAGTCATCAGCAGCGAGGATTCTGGTGATGAAAACAACTGCTCAGAAGATGCCCCCTCAGTCAGCTGCCAACCAAGTAAGTCAGCCCAGGGAGCGAGGCAGACTGTGCACGTCCGAGTCTGTTCTGTATGATGGATCCCCGGGACCTGTTCTGTGCATTGATTTTTATTTGATTCTTTTGTGGAATTCAGGGAAATCATTGCATACTGCTTTGGGGAGTAGGCTTGTCAATCAATGGATTTATTAGTAGACGTAGTCATCCATTGATAACATGATAGAAACAGGTGTGTGTGTGTGTGTGTGTGTGTGTGTGTGTGTGTGTGTGTGT